TTTTTTGCCTATCTTCTTCCTTTATATGGAATGTGCATTTTATGTGTGTAAATGATACCTCAATAAGGTTGATTTAAAAAGAAAAAAAGCAATGCAGATCTGTACTGAAAGTCTTTGTAGAGGCAGTGAAAACAGAGAACAAGACATTCTCTAAGTTTTCATTATGCATCTCTCTCTCTACCTCTCTGGGAGACTTCTTTCCCCTCTTCCCCCCTCCCTTCCTTGTCCTCTTAACTCCACACTGGTCATCCTGTCCTCTTTTATCACCTGCCCCCTTCCCATTCTTTATGAAATAGAGTAATTTTGCTTGCTCCTATCAGTTTGAGTTTGTAATGTCTGAAGGGGACTTTTGTTTTTTTTTTTTGAGACAGAGTCTCGCTCTGTTGCCTGGGCTAGAGTGCCGTGGCATCAGCCTAGCTCACAGCAACCTCAAACTCCTGGGCTCAAGCGATCCTCCTGCCTCAGCCTCCCAGGTAGCTGGGACTACAGGCACGGGCCACCATGCCCGGGTAATTTTTTCTATTTTTAGTTGTTTGGCCAATTTCTTTGTATTTTTAGTAGAGACGGGGGTCTCGCTCTTGCTCAGGCTGGTCTCGAACTCCTGAGCTCCCCAAATGATCCGCCCGCCTCGACCTCCCAGAGTGCTGGGATTACAGGCGTGAGCCACCACGCCCAGCCTGAAGGGGACTTTTGTATGCAAATCCAGTATCTTTGGGTTTGAATTTATATTGAATTTATTAAAACTTTAAATTTTAAAAAATCCTATATTTTCCTTGTAAGTCTTCAAGTCCAATTTACATAGTTATTCCAGTTATACATTTAATAGTTTCAGTATAAAAATAAGAATAATCACTTTCACTTATTCTTTAATTTTCAATTATCTCATAATTTTGATAAGTTAAATTTGCCTAAGCAATGAACACCAATTACAAACTTGATTGATTAAATTTCTAAACACTCCCAATGCCTGGCTGGGGCTGACTTACAACTCTAACAAATAATATCTTCCTATGCATTAAAACAACTCTTGTAAACCTCATAAACCAAATTTATAAATGTAGCAGTTCAAGTTCTTTCAAATTTTACAATAATGTTTACAAATTTAATCAAATTCCTTAAAGCCTTTGAAATTAAAATCACACCTAAAAAATCACACATTTAAATTGAAGTTATAATTTCAATGTCACATTCTCTTAAACATTAGGGACACTTAAAATATGTAATACAGACACATTATCCTGATAACTGACATTTATTCCTAAATTTAACACAAAATTGTAAATACTATTGGTTTGATTACTTTGTCATTTCTATATTATTTCTTTACTTTCATGGTTTTAGTTATCTACCCAACTCAGAACAGTCAGGTGGACTGAGAATTTCTAAATTTGAAAAAAAACCAAGACAGATTCAGGGTTAGAGATTCAAGGCTGAGATTTGGGACCAGATTGTTTCTTTTCTTGTAGTTGAGCCTATCTGCTTTGTTAGTAGAAGTCCCCAAGCTCACTCCTTTCAGCGGGAATTTGTCTTATAACTCACTATGTCTAATTGTTCACTCATGGTTAGGTTCAGGGTAAGTCTTTTTGGCAAGAACACTGCATGGGCGATGACGTGTGTTTCTCACTGCATCACATCAGGAGCACATTATGTCATTTGGTCTCACTCATTATTGGTGTGCAAAGTGTGATCACTTAGTTAATGTGGTGTCTGCCAGAGCTCTCGACCTTTTCACTTTGTAATTTATCAAAGGTAGGTTTTTACGTTCTCATTTTTAGCCTTTTCATAGTCTCTGGTCTAGCAAAGACAATTGTGAAGCATATAATTTTGACACAGGTGGTAATGCAACCATTCACCATCGAGCTCAAATTCCTCTGTTCCATCTGGCAAGAAAAGATATATTAGTGTTTTCCATGGAGATTCTTCAAGGCTGGATTGATAGTTCCCCATGGTCTATTAAAATCCCCAGTAGCCTCAGTGCGCATTCTGGTCAATTCCAGATCTTACTGGTAGGTGACTTCTTTAGTTCTTTTAAATGGGTTTCTTGACTAAAAACACACAAGAGACTGGGTGCGGTGGCTCACACCTGTAATCCTAGCGCTTCAGAGGCTGAGGCAGGAGGATTGCTTGAGGCTAGGAGTTCAAAAATCAGCCCCAGCAAGAGGGAGACCCCATCTCTATAAAAAAATAGAAAAATTAGCAGGGCATGGTGGTGTGCACTTATAGTCCCAGCTACTTAAGAGGTTGAGGCAGGAGGATTGCTTGAACCTAGGAGTTTGAGGTTGCTGTGAGCTATGATGCTACTGCACTCTAGCTGGGGCAATACAGTGAGATCCCAAGAAAATGTATTCACTTTTTAGTTAGCAGCACTTTATTGGTCAAGAGCTAACTTCTTTTAAAAAAGAAATATTTCTGACGTTTTTTCTTTCTAAAGAGGGTTTATATACTTTTTTCCCACTATTTATCTTATAAACAAATGCATATTTATTAGATGGGGATTTCACCTTTGATTTGTAACCTGCTTTTTTCCACTTGGAAATGTCATGAACATCTTTTCACAGCACTAAATAATAGACATGATAATTCTTAATAGGTACCTCGTATTCCACATTTACTATAATCTGTTTAACCTAATTGTTTTACCTGATGTTCTCTACTGTTGTGTTATGGTCATTTAGGTTGATTTCCATTTTATCACAGAAACTTCAATAAACATCTTGGTTATATGGCTTTGAGATAATTGTAGTTTTGTAACATGCAGTTTTGGGAGACCCCCTTGTACACTTTGCCCACTTTCCCCCAATTTTGAAAAATTAAATCATAACCAGGATATTGACATTGATATAATCTGTTGATCTTATTCAGATTTCCTTTTATTTGTACCCATATTTGTGTTTACATAGTTGTTTTTTTTTTTTTTTGAGACAGGGTCTCACTCTGTCACCCAGGCTAGAGTGCAGTGGCATCATCATAGTTAACAGCAACCTCAAACTCCTGGACTCAAGCGATCCTCCCGCCCCAACCTCCGCAGTAGCTGGAACTACAGGTGCACACCACCATACCCGGCTAATTTTTTTCATTTTTTTGTAGAGATGGGGTCTTGCTACGTTCCTCAGGCTTATATAGTTTTCTGCATGTCTGATTCTTCTCTTGAACTAAATTCCTTAAAGTGAGACCTACCGGGTCAAAGAGCTTGGCCTTTCTGTCCAGATTTCTTTGAAAGGACTCATTTCTCCATATCTTTGTAATGCTACTCTTGGGGTTATGTTTCATTTACCCCTCTATAACTCAAGATTACTTTCCTTATAGTAACTTTTTTATAGTTTGGTTTTTGACATTTAAATATTTAGTATATTTGAATGTAATTTTGGTGTAAGATGTGAGGTAGTAGTTGGATTTATCTATTTTTTTTCTAATTTAAAGAGATTTATTTTTTGGCCGGGCGTGGTGGCTCACGCCTGTAATCCTAGCCCTCTCGGAGGCCGAGGTGGGAGGATCGCTCGAGGTCAGTAGTTTGAGACCAGCCTGAGCAAGAGCGAGACCCCGTCTCTACTAAAAATAAAAAGAAATTAGCTGGACAACTAAAAAAATATATAGAAAAAATTAGCCGGGCATGGTGGCACATGCCTGTAGTCCCAGCTACTCGGGAGGCTGAGGCAGAAGGATTGCTTTAGCTCAGGAGTTTGAGGTTGCTGTGAGCTAGGCTGATGCCATGGCACCCGAGCATGCGCAACAGAGCAAGACTCTGTCTCAAAAAAAACAAAAAACAAAAAACAAAAAAACATTTATTCTGAACCAAATTTGAGGACCATGACTCAGAGCCACACCCAAGAAGCCTTGAGCAAGTGGACTCCTGATTTTTTTTCTAAATGGATTAGCAACTTGCTGATACCATCAAGTAGTTAACTAGGTTATCAAAATAGTTGTTAAAGTAAGGAATCATTTAAAAAAGGAAGTGAAGAGGACTATATTTTAGAGTAAGGAAAAGGGTGTAGATATGGGTTAAAAAAAGGTATTCAATGGCTTGCAATGTTTAGAACATTTTATTAAACTACAAAATTGCTGGAATTAAGCTAAATAGAAAAACATAGTAAATATTTACAAAAACATTGATAACTTTACTCAAGTCACACACGTAACAATGTAGAAAGGTCTTAAAAAGTTTATAAATTGAAATTATGGAGGTTTCCCCAATTGGATCTAACAGCTTACTGCTGAGCATGGCATCAATACAATATATAAGACCTTGGAGCAAACATTGTCCCCGATCTTATACAATCCAGTCCTCCCTAGAAACTTGTTTCTCTCTTTGGGAGATTCAGATTCAGAGACAGCCAGAGGGGACAAGTCAGGAGTTGAATAGTCACATAACTGGTCTAATTTTCTTCATCTTGTTGACTGTGTTGAGGATATACAGACATAGCTAAGGTGCTTTTTATCAGCCTCTGATGATATTCAGAAGGATATGAGCAATTTTTCATTGCTTGAACAAAATTCAGCACATAGAAGTCTGAGCAGAGAGTATTTGTACTAGAACTATAAAGTTCTATCTGATGGAAAATTACTTATAAAACTAAGATAAAACAGAATTAATTATGTTCTATCTCATATTTACTGAAAGTAGGAAAGGAGGCAGAGTGACACTTTTAGCTTAATGAATGGTCAATAAATAATTTAGGCTGAAGTGACCACATAACTATCTCTATAGTCCAGAAGAGATTAACATCAGTCTTTGAAAACAAAAGAAAACAGACTCAAAACACAGACAAAGCAGAAAAGAAAACAATGCCCATGAGACGGTCACTATTTCAACAGTATTATAAAAAGCTAAAGGATACTGGGGCTCTACTCATTTCACTTTGATGGTCTTATCTTAGAAACACCTTCCCGAAACTAAATTCAGAGGGGAGGAAATTAAGAGCTTCAGATAAATTTAAAACCAGTCTTGGGCTCAATAAGACCGTTACTTAAAATAATCACCTCACATTTTAAAATAGATCATCTTCATGTAACTCTTCTTAAAATAATCACCTCACATCTTAAAACAGATCATCTTCATCTGACTCTTCGAGGTACTTTATAGGTTTCTTTGCCCGACTGGATTTTGCCCGAGGAGCAACTGCTGAGTCAAAATCTAGATGGAAGTCGTCACTCTCCCCCTTGGATTTCTGCAAGAGAAAAAAGCCCAGGTAATTTGCCCAATGTAAACCTGACAGTATCATTCCACTGTAAAAAATGTATCAACAGACTACAACTCAACTTTTCTGCCTTCTACCATGTAGTAAGGCCAGCTCTCCCACTGACTAAATAAGTGGCATATTTAACTTTGTTACAACTAAATTATATGTGGTAATACCTAATAGATTGTGAGATTTAAATTTATTTTCTTAAAAATATGACAAGTTATTAAGAGCAAAGGCTTAGTTATGTGTCTCAGAATATCTATAGCAAAAGGACTAACTAGGATAAATACTCACTTTGCTTGTGGCTGCTTTAGAAATAATTTTCTCAAAATTAGAGTCGGAATCATCAGAAGTGGATGGCTTCCTTTTGCGTCGATTTTTGGTTTTCGCAGGATCAGGCTTTTGAGAGACACCAGAATTCAAGGCTGGATTCTTTCTGGTTCCTTTTGGGGCAGCCTTTTTGGCACCCGTGGTGGAAGTAGAAGACTGACCTACAAGTCAACACAGATAATTTATCATTGGCACTCTTAGATGAATTTTTCATTGTGAACTTTCTTTAGCAATCTGATGACTGTGTACATTTAACATAGGAAAAGACAATGTAAGAGCTGAAAAAACATTAGAGCAGCAGTCCCCAACCTTTCTGGCACCAGGGACCGGTTTCATAGAAGACAATTTTTCTATGGATGGGGGTGGGAGGGTGTGGTGGAGCCTAACAGGCTTCGGCCAAATACTGGTCTGCAGCATTAGAGAATCAAAGTTTATTTTTTTAGAGACAGGACCTTGCTCTGTCGTCCAGGCTGGAGTGTAGTTGCACAATCACAGCTCACTGTAGCCTTAAACTCCTGGGCTCAAGTGATCCTGCCTTGGCCTCCCAAAGTGCTGGGATTACAAGCATTGGCCACTGTGCCTGGCCTCAAAGTATTCTTAAGCATTCAATTTTTAAAATTTGTTTTACATTAAATATTTGCAACTGCTTATAAATCCTAACCGTGTCATAGAAATGAACTAGATAATGCCTGGCATTCAGAGAAACACATGATTTTATTTTATTTTATTTTTTGAGACAGAGACTGGCTCTGTTGCCCTGGCTAGAGTGCCGTGGTGTCAGCCTAGCTCACAGCAACCTCAAACTCCTGGGCTCAAGTGATCCTCCTGCCTCAGCCTCCGGAGTAGCTGGG